TGTGTGTAGGTGTGTGTGTGTGTGTAGGTGTGTGTGTAGGTGTGTGTGTGTAGGTGTGTGTGTGTAGGTGTGTGTGTGTAGGTGTGTGTGTGTAGGTGTGTGTGTGTAGGTGTGTGTGTGTGTAGGTGTGTGTGTAGGTGTGTGTGTAGGTGTGTGTGTAGGTTTGTGTGTGTAGGTGTGTGTGTGTAGGTACGGGTGTGTGTGTTTAGGTATGTGTGTGATGTGCAAGTGCAGGTATGTGTGCGTGTGTCTGTAAGTGCAAGTATGTGTGCGTGTGTGTGTGTGTGTGTGTAGGTGTGTGTGTGTGTGTGTGTGTGTGTGTGTGTGTGTGTGTGTGTGTGTGTGTGTGTGTGTGTGTGTGTGTGTGTGTGTGTGTGTGTGTGTGGAAGTGTGAGTAGGTACTATTAATGCTGACCATTTACAGTATAATTTTTCTTACTGTATTGTATTGTAACATGAAGAATATGTATATGTATACAGCTAAAGACCAGGACAAGTCAGTTTTCTTATTCATAAAGAAATAAAGTCAAGTAACAGGAATAGGCACAACACAACTGAATACAGTCATAACGGTACAACAATGCGGTAAATGTAGATGCAATAACAAACAGTATGGCATGGCATGGCTACTGCTGAAACCATACAATTTCAAAACAAAATTTGGGTATCTGGACATGTCATATTACAGCCCTCTGTACTGGTCAAAAATAAAACCAGCAGTAGCAGTAGCATCATTACAATATTCTGCTAGTAGCAGGAACAGTATTGCCATGCTTTACTTTTTTTTTTGGAAATGCACATAGTACCTGACTATCTCCTAAGTATAAAATGGTAAAATTTGTAATATACAAATTAACTGTAAATCCAGATACAATATAAAGGTCTTACCTTGCATATCTGTCACTTCTGTGACATAGCAATAAGCACCTTTTTTCTGAAGCCAATCAGGCTGAAATAGTCAAGACAGCAGTTTCTTTGGACCTATCTGCACTAATTTGTATGGACTCTGGATACTCATTTAGAAGATTTAAGTAAGAATATTGTACATAAAATGTAACTACAACTTCCATAACCCTCTCAGATCTTTCACCAAGACAAACTAGTAACTATACTCTACACTCACTACTGAGGTAACATATTGCACTACAGAACTTGAAAACTGTTTTTCATTTTTTTTTTAATCTTTATACCAAATTATACTTGTCACCACAAGGAAATCAGTTCTAAAACCACTAGCATTATATGTGGTACTGGCATAAAAAAAAGAAATAGAGAAACCATTAGCTGTTAAAAATATAGTGGTATTATAAATGTATATATATACATGTGTTTGTGTGTGTAAGTGAGTGAGTGAGTGAGTGAGTAAGTGTGTGTGTGTGTGTGTGCGTGTGCGTGTGCGTGTGCGTGTGCGTGTGCGTGTGCGTGTGCGTGTGTGTGTCCGTGTGCGTGTGTGTGTCCGTGTGCGTGTGTGTGTGCGCGCGTGTGTGTGCGCGTGCGTGTGTGTGCATGTGTGTGTGTGTGCGTGTGTGTGTGCGTGTGTGTGTGTGTGTGTGTGTGTGTGTGTGTGTGTGTGTGTGTGTGTGTGTGTGTGTGTGTGTGTGTGTGTGTGTGTGTGTGTGTGTGTGTGTGTACATATGTAAGTATATAAGTACATAAGAACATAAATACGTAAATACATAAATACATAAGTACGTAAATATGTAAGTACGTAAGTACATAATTACATAAGTACATAAGTGCATAAGTAGACAAGTACAGAAGTACACAAGTACATTTGTATGTATGTACACATACATGTATAATTTTTTTCAATAATTTGCAACAGAAAGAAGACATTCAGAATTCAATGTTAGTGATATCAACCATGAGAACATTGCATCAGAAGCTAAGTTATACCCGATCCTCTGCAGCAATTGGAGCTCTGGACCCATACTGAGCTTTCTGATGGCTATGTCGACGTTGGGTGTGATTGGCATAGATGGGAATGTCCTGGCAATTTTCTATGTCATCAACATCATCCATCCGAGGGTGACCCGGAGTGGCTCGTTCTCCAGTTCGCTTCCGCTTGACACCATTTTGTTGCAGGTTCAAATCAGAACCATTCTTAGCTGCTGCAATGGGCATGAATTGGCAATGTTGCTGGGATGGAACCTGTAAAAGTAAAAAAACTCATTTGATAACACAGTATGAATTGTATTTTCTCGTGTGCATCTATTTGCAATGTTTAGCCAAGGGAACGACACATAAGCCCTTTTTTGTAACATTTCCGAAACCCCTAACACTTTGATACCCTCTGATACATGTTTACCCTTTATGCGTACATTATTGGAACCTGTTGAAACATCTCTTCATTTTGTATCAAGTTTTTGATATGCTCCGACAAGCCAATCAGAGCACGATATTTTCCAGATATATTTCACGTAGTCCCAGATAAGGATTTATATTTTCATTTTCATTAATTACTTATTTCATAAGTTTCTTGATATAATTCTTTACTGTAAATGTGTATAAAATGTTTCTGTGCCTTTTTTGCAGTACATCAAATACATGTTCACTCTATATGGGTAAGATTTGAAGTCAATCATGACGGCCACTGGAGCGACATGGTGTCTGAGTCACATGACGTGGTACTGACTCACTCGCAGTGGATACAATGAGATCCAAGACCTTATGCAGCTTGCACATTTCTTATGAAGTACAATATATGTGATAAAAAGAATATATTTTGATTGAATATGAGAAATACATTTAAACTTTCCACAGCCTTGTGAAGCAAAGAGTGGTGTGTATAAACAATATAAGTTACAGAGTAGTCAGGTACTGCTTGTAATAAAAAATCATACCAGCATATTAAGTACTTTGATGGTTTTCTATTGACTCTTTCATGTGAACTAAAATAAAAAATAACTTCTCCTTTTCTCAACACTTTGTATGTCAGTATAAAGTAAAATAACAGCATGTTTTGCAGCAACTGTGATACAACTTGAAACAATGTATCAAAGTGTTAGGGGTTTCAGGATGCTACAAAAAAGGCCTATAATAATTGGAACATGAAGAATCTTTATGATACTTCCTTTTATTTTTATTTCTTACCTCCATCTCCATCCCCACTCCTATCTCTACAGCTCCTCCATCAATATTTCTCAACTGTAAATTCACCTTCATTCTATTTGTATCTCCATCTCCATCTCTACTCCACCCCCAAAAATTCCTCTCTTGTAACATATTTATCATACATACAGCTTAATCTCCACCTCCATCTCTTTCTCCATCTCTACTGTATCTCTATCTCTCTTGTTCTTCCATTTCTATTTCCATCTATATTGTAAATCTATCTCCATCTCCATCTTCATCTCTATTCATATTGAGTGTCTATCTCTACTGTATATACATTTCCATTACCAACTCTGTCTCCTTCTCTATCAATACTGTATTTCCATCTCTACAGTACCTTTATCTCTATTTCCATCTCCTCACACTCTGAAATAAATATAAATCCATCCCTCCAGTATCTCCACCTCCATCTCAACTGAACCTCTAGCTCTGTCTTGACTGTATTTTCATCTCCATCTTGACTGTATCCCTATTTATCTTACAACTCCATGTCTACTTTACCTCCATCTGTATACGTACATTCATCTCCATATATATTTCTAAGTATCTCTGTCTCTATTGTATACAGACCTCTATGGTACATCCATTTTTAACCCTGTTTCTTTCTATCTCCACCTCCATCAGACTCACTATTTCTATTTCTATATCAACTCCATCTTCATCACCAACATCATCTCAACTGCATATCCATCTTTACTATATACTCCATCTCCATATCCATATCTATTTGTATCTCATATGTATATCGTTGCATGGATCCTAATGGTTTATTGACCTCTAAACAACAATTATCATACACAAAAAGACTTACAAAATAAGTTGTTTTTCTGTAAAAGATTAGCACTATTTTTTTTTTCTTTAAAAAAAAAATAACAGTATAACATTTTTGTCTTTCATTGGAGATTAACAAAATAAATTTTTAAAATCTTCTACAAAAGATTACCAGAACATGCTGGGAAAGTGCCACTGAAATAACAAAAGAAGTTTGTGAAGGAAAGACTGTAAAATGTGAGGCACCAAACATACAAATGATATTTGCCTATCTTACCTAACCCCTTGCAATATTTGTCCCCAGAGCAGTATGTGCCTACAACTAAGTTCAATTGGAGACGATACCTGGCTGTGTGACATCTGGCGTTGATGATGCACATGATGGGAATGTATGGGTGAGGATGAATGCAACAGTGCAGGCGATATTTGTCCAGCTCCACCCTTCATTACCTCACACACTTCCTTATCTTCATCAAAAACATCATCATCCATGTTCTCTTCAGCTCCATCAACTTGTATAAGGTCCTGTACAAATCTGCAAATACATTTATGTGTATAGTGCACATATGTATACATATTAACATTGACCCAATGCATGTACGTACATGCCATGCCAACTGTGAGTTTACTTTATTAATTCTTTTTACACATAGATGGCTACACTTATACTAAGCCACCAATAAGCCAATTATGAGTACTGCCTGTCTCACCCGTTTACCCTTTTCCTTGATTTAAAAAATATTTTATGATATCTTATTTTGCTGTTACTAATGTTTATGACTTTATAGTAATTATAAAGTCTATAATAAAAATAACACCATTGATATTCATAGCATTAGTAAAAAATACATTTTTTCTGCCAATTCAAGAAAAGGTGAAATCATGTAAGGTCACAAGGTCTACTAATTGACTCTTTTGTGGCTAATAACTGGCAGAGACATCTGGGGGTGGGGGTGGGGGTGGACAGGGACTGTAACTTTTATAACTTCCCTATAATTTTTGAGATGCGCTATAAACTTGTGAACTCATATGTGAAAATTAAAAGAAATGTGCCAAAATATCTCTTTCATATGTAAAGCTGCAATGTTATTTGCAATCTCCTGACCAAAGTTTATATCAGCTCATAATGATTTCTCTTCCCAGCAAATGCACTGATGACACAGAATACATACATCTAAAGAAATCAGCTACCAGATGCCAACAATTACCATATAAAGTTTAAGGAAAGAGATCATTTAATCTCCTTTTTAAAATGTTTACAAACTATAATATATAGTGGTTAATAAATGTGAAATTTTATACAGAAATCTACTAGCAAGAGCATCTTGCTTTCAAATCCTAGGACTATTTTGTGGAAGACCACATTATACCACTTTATGCTCTTTGTGTTACAGCTTCTACCATGGCTACTTATAATAACGTCAATCATTGATACTGTGAATATTCATGGTTTCTTGTTTGGTTCATTTTTAACATTCTATCACTATCATAAAACTTACTTGCTTTCATCCTGATTATGGAACCTTGTCATATGACTGGCATCATCCTCCACATTACATGAATCTTGAGACAAATACGTAGATATGGTGTCTAAACTCGGACGTCTCCCACTCTGCATTGAGCTACAGTCAGAGTCTAAGGTGTGGCTAGAGCCAAATCTTCCAACACCAGAATCATTTCTGAAATTTATAAAAAGAATATAATTTCCCATTAAACTGCAGATTTTCCTCTAACATCTATAACTGACCACATTACAAAACAAGAAATGCACTGGCATTTTTATTTTTAGCATTATGCAATTATGAAATTCAATTTCTTTTTCTTTTTTTCAATGTATAGTAATAAATGACTGAAAAAGCAACACATATTTAACCCCTACAATCTGGATGACACGACCATCATGTCATAAAAAATCTAGTTTGAACAGGCCATCGTGGGAAATTTTGGCTGTGGGCCAAAGTGACATGAACCTGCATTGCAACTGGAGGTGGGGTGACAGCAATGTCTCACCACAAGTGCACAAAGCTCTTGGAGGGTGATTAGACTCATTTTCACATTTAGGAAGGGGTTTTTGCATTATTTACATTGATAAACGAGTGTGGAATGTACCATCTGTAAGCCATGACTGGAAGACTGCCAGCTTCAGAGAGAACAATATTACTATGCCCAGAATCCTGTTTTAGGCTGCCATGACTGACAGTGCAGGTTATATTCAAAATTGAATATCGTGAAAAAAAAAATTTAATGACACAAATAACAAATGTTACTTATTGTCACTATTATTGCACTGAGTTATGGACTACACACATCCATCAGAGTGGCCGCTCAAATGTCAGTATTTTAGGCCACATGGTGGCAGTGAAGCATCCAGATCCAGTGGGTTAAGGATTAGATATATGAAACAATATCTTACCTCAATATCCTGGACACATCAACCCAATCTTCTCTGTCATCTGGATACTGTTGACAATGACGCTGTTGCATGGGTTGGTGATGGTGTTGCTGAAGGAGTTGTTTCTGGAGTTGATTCTGATGATGGAGGTGATGATGAGGGTGATGCTGGTGTTGCTGGTGATGGTGTTCATGATGCTGTTGGTGCTGAAGGTGCTGCTTTTCATGTTGCTGGTGATAATGCTGATGTGGCACTGGCTTAGAATAAGGGACACTAGTTCGGGGTTTGGGCACAGGAGGGTTACTAGCCACAGGTGATGATAGCGTGGTGCGAGGCATGGGCTTTGGAGGACTGGCACTATTACTGCCATTCCATGCATTCATTCCAATTCGACCATTACTATGGTCATTATTTGGACTTAATGAGCCACCTTTTGTAGTGCCATTTGGTCCACTGTTTCCACTATTTCCGCGGCCAAACATCTAGTTTAGCACATAAAGCAAGATGAAAAAAAAAATAAAAGTAATATAAAACAAAAGTAAAGTAAAACTGAAAACTACATACACACACATATAAAGCAAGCAAGCATACACACACTTATAACTCAACATGTATTTCTATGTATATTTATATAAAACTTCAGATCAATAATAAACGTTATGAAAATGGCAACTAGAAAGTAACAACAGGTTTCAAAATGATAATCCATAACAAATGATTGTTGCTACTCTAGCATACTTTAACATTGAAAAAAAAATGATTGGTTAACTTTCCCCAATAATACAGTACTTCACAATAATCATGAAATCTTATTTATCACAGGCGAACTTGCCACGAGATGTACAACCAAAATATTACATGTATGGAAAGTGATATTTTATAGTGTAAGGTTAGTGTAAAAAAAAATTGTAGGTGTATAATGTGTATGTATTTTGTCACCAACAAGAAGAAAGTGCAGTCCAGGTTAATCCAGTGGTGCTGGTTACATGTAATGTCAACTGTAGTTTTGTCAAATTTGTTTACAAAGAGATGGATTCACAAGTGTTTAGTCACCAAGGAATCAGTTGTAGGCTGATTTTCCAGATTTTCCTTTTATCTAATAGTATCATTATTTTTTATGTCAATTTGATTATCAATAATGTTATCACCATTATAACAACAATACTTATGGCATGAATAAACATAATTCTTCCAGAAATTTTAAAGGAAGATAAGCCTAGTATCTGACTCTTTATCAACTAAGCACTTAATGAACGAAAAGCACAGAGGACAGGGCTTATATATATATATATATATATATATATATATATATATATATATATATATATATATATATATATATATATATATATATATATATATATATATATATATATATGCCTTCCTGATACTAAAAGTGAAAGTGTAAAAGCATATCGTATGAAAAGAAAGGATTTCAGGCTTTGCTCATGGAGTAAGATCAATATAAAACCCTTTACCCTAAATATGGGAAAGGCAATAGCTAGCATAACAGCATGATGTGCAGGCATTTTTGCTAAAGTAGCATACAAAATGGCCTTCCAGCAAATCCCTTCCTCTGGTTTCCCAAAAATATTTCCACACAATTACCTAACAATGCATATTTAGAGCTGTTAATCTCAATATTAACATATCTTAACAATGGCTTATAAGCCTTTTCCCAAATAAAAAAGAAGCATTTGCCTTTAAAAAAAAAAAATAGATAGAAAATGCCCTTTCTGTTTGAGATATCTAGTGCAAGGGTTATAACTATTAGGTATGACTGCCTTAGAGATATCAATTCTGTGCACCTAAGGTAGTTGCATAACATATCCATTAACCTGAGAAGACACAAGAGAAAATCCACACAAACAAACTACAAAAAATCTGACACACATGACCTTTCACATCAAATGAAAAGAACACAAAACAGCACCACAATAACATAAGAACCAGGTGATAAAGAACAGTATAATTACAAGAGAACATCTTTTATGAGGTAAGTGTCACACTGCCTCTTCAATGAGCTCACTGGCCCATTTTAAGAAACTTTCTGAATTGAATACAGAACAGCACCACACTAACATAAGAACCAGGTGATACAGAACAATATCATTACAAAGAGAACATCTTTTATGAGGTAAGTGTCACACTGCCTCTTCAATGAGCTCACTGGCCCATTTTAAGAAACTTTCTGAATTGAATACAGAACAGCACCACACTAACATAAGAACCAGGTGATACAGAACAATATCATTACAAAGAGAACATCTTTTATGAGGTAAGTGTCACACTGCCTCTTCAATGAGCTCACTGGCCCATTTTAAGAAACTTTCTGAACTTGAACACTTGAGGCACAAAAAGCATTTAAGCATATCTAAGCAACTGATGGGCATCTTTAACCTGTATCTGCCAGGGAACACCTATAGTCATCATAACAAACCAACTCATCATGCCAAGTATGGCTATTGGCATCACAACATGCGAGAGCACATCAAGCGGAAAGTTCCAATACATGTAAGGGCCCCTCAGGCCAAACGGAAGGACAGTTGCCATTAGTCACCAGAGTAGGTGAAACCGAGAGATTTCTGATACCGTCATTGAGGGGTAAAGTACATCTCCACACCTGATGGGCAGGTTGAACAGCCACCAGAACATAAGGAAGATTCAACTATGTAACAACCAAAATAAATTCCAAGATGCAGTCTAGATGCTCACACTATCAAGAACAAGAACAAAATGTGGAGCAAACAACTCAGAAATCAGGACCAAATCATGAAGTGAACAAATTATAACCACTAAGTACAGAACTTGATAATCCCATGGCTAAAGCTACTAAAAATTCATAAGGAATTCCTAGACATTTAATATGGCTACAAATGATAATTTATGCATAAAACTATTTCCAAGTTACTGATGAAAACATTGTCAGTTAAGCCAGCAAAAAAGAGGAAGGCAAAGACCGAGACCAGTAACACTGCAGTGGACACACTGAACTCTATATGAAGCATAGGTTTACAGAAGGGAGAACCATCCTTGCTCTTGTCTAAAATGTGGAGGGGGCAATGAAGAGAAAAGAAATGAATGCAGAAAAAAATTATCACAGACGACAGCAAAATTAAAAAGAACCCCTTAATCAACTCAACAGAGATTGTGAGAACACAAATCAAAGTAAAACCACAAAACGCTGAGCAAATATTATCCATCACCCACAGCCAATGAGAGAAATCTAAGCTTTCATCAATATCTCACAGAAGCAAATCTGATGGAGAGGAAGGATTTGAGAGGTTGTCAGACAGGATTTTCTCTTAATTCTGGTTCTGGGATATGCTGCACCAAGAGGAAAGTTGATATATCTATATCTAATAGCCTGTATTGCATAACCCAACTCTGATTTTTAAAGACTTTTGGGGGCACACTTCTCTACATATGCACTGAAAATACAAGGCATGAAGTAAATCAAAAATTAATCCTAATGTCTTCCTCACACATTATTGAAAGAAGATAGAATCTTATTATTAAGCAAGAAACAGGGAGAAACTACTATTCTAAACTGATTATACACTGAAAAAGCATAGAACTCATAAATAGTTTGACCACCATCAATGTATTGATGAGAACAGCAGTAGAATGTTCATTCATTTTTATTATGAAAACCTGCAAGATTTAAAACCATTGTGTAGGCTACAATATTCTGTCAACATCTGACAACTTTAAGCAAATGGTGACTGGTGTTTGTAATTTTCCACAGGCTTTGTGTGAAAAATTTATAGTGTTATCATAGTTATTTGAGCAAGAATAAAAATATCTATAAATGTTTGTGTAGGCTTTGCCTACTTGGGGAGGAAGTACACTGGTAAGTTCATGGCCATAAACATATCTATTACTTTGTCTTCAGTAAACTCCAATAAGCCTGACCTTATTCTGCTTGATATAAGCTGTATTGTAGTACTAAATTAGTAATACCATGAGTTAAACAAAAAATTAATATTTGTATTCATCAGTGAATTACAACTCACTCTCAGTTGACTTGCTATTCATAATTCTTACACTTTATGTTTTCATCAGTGTTTTTGTTCTAGCTTTCACATTGGTGATTAAGATGCATTGGCTGCAAGATATTTTTGTTCTTTTTTATATCTTCCAGCTCAGCAGCTGCATATGTGTAATTTCCTTGGCCTATAATTTCAAACTATCCATTGCATTGCTGTTTTCATTTCCAGGTTCACAAGTGGCAGAAAAAAACACTTCTAAACACAAGAAATATGATTGAAAAAATTTCCTGTTGTAATAAATTAAACTGCATCATAATGTGTACATCTAAAACATATTGATTACTCTGAAATAGCAATAGTTAGTACCTATGCATACTGGTTTCAAATTAAAGAATAAACAAACCTTGTTCAAAAAATTACGTGGTTTAGCATCTGCTGTAGCAAAGTCATCATCTCCACGATTCCCTCTCATTCTTAGCCTATCAGCTCCAGTACTTGTTCCAGGTTTAACTCTGCCACAGTTGTTACTTGCAGCATTGCTGGTACTACAACTTGCTCCTGGAAAGTATTTTATTAAAGAAGCTTCTCTTCTCTTCATAATAAAACATCTAGGAAAAAGGGATATTTACATACTCTTTACATGGAATTTACATTTACTGACTTATAGGTTAGTTAAAGTGTTTTACCTTGAATTTGACGTGACTGCTTTGGAGGCACTTGAGGTTTCCCTACAGGATAGGATGCCTGCTGCACCCGCCTGATACTCCGGATGAACTTTGTACGGCTATTCCTCTGAAAATAATTAAAGCAATGAATATTACAAACAACTAATGTTTTATGCACACCCACCTATATTAGGGGAAAAAAATGCTGAGTACTGGACACAAATGATCTTGCGCTTTACAAAAATAAAAATATATAGTCAAACAGTATAAACCTTCCTCACTGTTACTGTAACTATAAAGATAGATCATCAATCCACTGACTACACATTACCCAAAAAAAGGCATCACAGTTAATAATGATGCTAAAATGTATTCCTGGCTATGTACCCATAGAATTCACATGATAAATAGGTCTCTCTATGCCAACAACTATTTCACACTAGTACTTCAGCCTAACCCTATTCAGACGGGTCACGTGTACCAGCGTCATAACAAACCGCTTGGCCTGTCTGTACACGTGTCACCACACCAGAGCGTGCAAAGTGGGAAGTTCCCCCTGATGTGATGGACTCCCATGCCCAGTGTCTGGCCGTTGACAGAAATCAGCCGAGTTTATCATGCTCAAGGATTTCTGTTATCCGACGGTGATGGGTTAAGGTAAGACGACACCCAGGACCAATCTAACATCTATCTGACTGATAATATGGCAATGAGAAATGCCAAGGGGTTAAAAAGAGCTTTTAACCCAAAACCAATGGGCATAGCATGTACATGCATGCCATGCCTACTGTGAGTTTATATTATTAATTGTTTTTACTCATAGATGGCTTCATTATACTAAGTCCCCTGTCTCAACTGTTTATCCTTTTCCTTTATTTTCAAAAATATTTATTTCATCTTATACTGCCATTACTAATGTCAATAACATTATAATAATTATAATGTCTATAATAAAAATACCATAAAAAGTAACACCATCAATACTGATAGTATTAGTATAAAAAAAAACATTTTTTCCACAAATTCAAGGAAAGATGAAATTAGGGAAGGTCACAAAGTCTATTAATTGAATCCTTTGTGGCTAGCACTTGAAGAGCCATCTAGATGCAATTTCACAAAAAATATAAAATGAGCACAGCATTTTCCTGGCAACATTGGGTTAAGCTTACTTTTAGGTGCAAAACTGTAAAAAAATGTATATGACCTATCAGCACTAACACACACGGGTTGCATAATCTTTTCCCACAAATCTGATAACCCAAATGTTACAGTTTAATCAAATAGGTTCACTCTAAAACTGAGATATCATAAAACTATAACCAACCTTAACTTCTATACATGGCAGCTGTTAAACTGTCACCAAAACCAAAACATTCCTTAAAAGTATGTGATAAAAGAGGTAAAGAGAAATTCTGCCTTACACTTACATAATCCCTAACAAATATTACACATGATATTATAACAGCAACTAAAAAACTAAGGAAAGGCAGCATAAAATATTAACAGAAAATAAATGTTGAAATAAACAATTTTATACTGGTCATGTTCCCATATTATTTTCAACAC